CAATGAAGGTCAAGTCCCCTTGCTCTCTGTGACACAGCAGAGTCAGTGGTAGTCCAGGCCTGGCGGAACCGGTACGGTTGGTCAGGCCATGGCCAGACAAATGTTTGGCCAAATGTTTGGCCATGGCCAACGCTTGTTTTCCGTTGATGAGGTCGTGCATACCCACCATCTCGTACACATAAAATAGAAATGATGACATCATGATTGTGGTGTTGCCGGACCAATCGAAAACTACTTCCGCCTGTCACATATGTGTGTGTCCATCTGCTTGATGCAAATACATGCAGAAGTGACAAAATCCCAAAATGCACAACCAAGACCTTGCCACTGATGAGAACTAGGACCGGGAAATGTAGTGAATATGACAGCAGCTAGTTACCTAAGTCCGTGAGTATATAGCCATCGGTGTGTGCCCATACTGGGAAGGAGGACAATAGATTGTACTGTAAAAGCAGAATATTTCGGTGGTGTTTTATTTTCGGTAACTTCGGTGCCGACAATTTTTACCGAAAATAAAACGCACCGAAATTTTCGGTATAACCGATACTGTATACATGTAGTACTAGTACACTTACCTGGAAAACGGGTTTTACCGAAAATTTCCCTCCACCGAACCGCTGATTTTGGAGAATACCGAAAATATTACACCACCGAAAATTTCTGCTTTTACAGTAACTGACTGACGTACTTGAGTATGTGTGTGTGGGTGGGTGTTTGCTTGTGTGTGTCTGTGTGTGTGTCTGCGTGCATGTGTGGATGGATGGGACCACCGTGTATGTCCATGCGACAGAGCTGCGAGAACAGTGCTGGAAGCTGGATCAAGCTAAGAGGGACGTGCTACAAGAGATTGAGGACCTGAGGGTGTATCAGGTAGGTGTCTGTTCCTGGTGTTGCCGGTACTGCTGCGGATGGTGACCATATTTCCACCTGCGGGTGTATGAAATACTGCTCTTTTGCGAACCATTCGGTGGTGCCGTAAAACTGTGCAGCTAGTGCAGGCCAATTCATCTATGGACTAGGCACCCAGGAAACATTTTCCGCAGTCCTAAAGTTCTCACCTTTCCTGTAAGTCTGGATGGTGCAAATGCCGGTTTGCATGGATGTGTATATTTGTCGGACACGGTCTCGGCATAGTGGTCGTGAGCAAGCCATTGCCAACACCGGCTCTGGTGCTTTTGTTGCAGCATTGGAGCAGGACACACGTGTGTGCTTGCAATCACGGTGTTTTTATGTTACCACCACCACCACCACCACCACAATCGGTGCGTGTAATGCCCTTTGACTGTTCTTACATGAATCCAGAAAACTGGCGAGCGGGATTCGAATATCATCCGGATTGCTCTGCTCCGCAAAGTGGACGACGCCAGAGAGCAGAGACTGGTAGGTCGCCGGTTTTCGATATAGCCGTTATAATAGTCGTTATTCAATTATAAATATTGCATTCAAGGGACTCTCCAGAGGTGGATGGGTGCTGGTAGAAGGAGTCGTCTTATGCAGCTCAGATTGTGCATGTTGTTGAACACCTAAACAAGCATAGCCAATCATGCAAACCTGGTGATGGTGATTGTAGTGTAATGAGTAGCATCATGACAGAACTCTATCCCTAGGCATAGCATGGTCTGTCTCCTGGTTTCTCCTTCCTACTCCCTACACTCACTCGCATTGATCTAACGTGTGTACTTGTGTAAGAACCGCACCCTGCCGGCTGTACCATTGCCTCATGCATTCATGTACCGCTGCACTTGCTGGCTGCGCATCACTAACCCTTCCCCTTCTATGGCATGCAGTACTCGGGTGCGCGTGCGTATTCATGTCTGAGTGCACTGCCCTCGGGCTCCATCTATACATGGCATCCCGTACTGGGCACGCTGCTTCCGGTCGCTGTTGTGTGCACTCAGCACCGTAGTCTATTCCGCTCTCTGTCTTCTCTACACAGTGATTCCTGTTTGGAATCACTCTTCGTTTCTGCTCTCCTTGTAGTTATTGTGCTTTTCGGTGTCTGATAATGTTCCCCCTTTTGCAATAAAGATTCCGGCGAAACTACTCTAAAAGTAGCTACCGCTACAGTGATACCTGTACTCTGTTCCAATCACTAGTAGTGCCTTGAGCAGAGGTAGAGTCACGATGTGTTTGGTGCATGGGATGCGGCGGAACGGCACTAGTCTTGGTGGTGGGATGATGATGAAACACAGCAGCTTTCCAAGTCAGCAAAGCAAGACGAAACCGTGCGACACTGTCTAATGGCTCTGTGTGTCTCTGTACTTACACAATGTGAATGTATGTCTGTGTTTGTTCCATAGAGAGCTGTGGTGACTTTGCAAAATGATCTGCAAAATGAACAAGACCAGCTAAAATTGGATCTTGCAGACGAGCTGAAACAGCTCAAGCTGGACGCTGAAGAGGTATCATGAGAATACACATGACAGTCAGAACGGAGCCTGGTTCGCCGCTGTTTTATACGACTGTGATGAATATCTCTGTTGCAAATGACTGTGATGAATACCGTGTTGTACTTCTTTTTCTAGTGCAGTAGAACCTCTCTTATCCAACCACCTCCCTTATCCAACCACCTTCCTTATCCAACCACCTTGCAGCATGTACTGCTGGTCAGATTGTCAAAAAATTGCTCCTTTAGTACATGTGAATGATACACACACACACACACACATACACACACACACACACACACATACACACACACACACACACACACACACACACATACGCACGCACACACACACACACACACACACACACACACACGTGCACACACACTGTCTTTCTCACTCATTCGCTCCCACTCCCTCTCTTACTCTCTCTCTCTCTCTCTCTCTCTCTCTCTCTCTCTCTCTCTCTCTCTCTCTCTCTCTCTCTCTCTCTCTCTCTCTCTCTCTCTCTCTCGCTCTCTCTCTCTTTCTCTCTCTCTCTCTCTCTCTCTCTCTCTCTCTCTCTCTCTCTCGCCCTCTCTCTCTCTCCCACTCCTCTCTCTCTCTCTCTCTCTCTCTCTCTCTCTCTCTCTCTCTCTCTCTCTCTCTCTCTCTCCTCTCTCTCTCTCTCTTTCTCTCTCCCTCCCTCTCTCAGGCTCTCTCTTTCTCCCTCTCGTTGGCACTCTCTAGGTCCATCTCACCCGCTGCTCTCTGCTGTCGTTGTTTCTCTTTGTTTGCAGCGTGCCGAGCATGCTAGTGAACTGGAAACTCTGAAAGTAGAGAACCAAAAACTTATCAAGGTGAGTGTCCATCAACATGGCAACTGATTTCACCACTATTGTCGTGCCAGTTGTCGTTGTAGCATTCCAGCACGTGTTGCACAATTCGGGCTTCTCTTTCACGTGCAAAATCTTCAAACGTGTTCACGTGTGTGCACGCACCGGATGATGTTGCTGTATATGTGTTTGGAATATACTCTCTATATCTGCAGGAGCACAAAACCCATAAGGTCAACTATGATAAGATGCTGGCAGTGGTCAACGAGCTTATGGAGAGACTAAGGTAATGATGGGATGCTTGTGACCGAGCAGGAGTGAGCAAGTAGTTTACTGTGAAAAGTGGGAAATGTGTGTTGCATGCAAATTTTGCGTTTCTAGAATTGCACTGGATTGCGACAAGAAATCATTGTTTTATGTCTTCCGTTGAATCGGGTGATTCCCGTAATCAATCCACAGAGCGGTTCGTGGATGTGCGATGATAACGAAACTTGAAAGATGATTATCTCCAGTGAAAATGTCCCACCAAGCAGTACTGAGTTATGCTACATAGTCACAGGGCACATGCCCACACACGGGTAGGGATAACCATGCATGCACGTACACACGGCCAGGGATAACCATGCATGCATGGACACACGGCCAGGGATAACCATGCATGCATGGACACACGGGAATTGCCGGAAACTGGTCGTCCCTGAATGCGATGCCTTTTATTTTAATTAAGGTGGCAGTCTGGGTTCAGAGGGTCAAAAAACAAAGTTTCGATTTTCTGTATTTTTTCACTGGCAGCGTCTTGTGTATGGTCCAAAGGGTTTATCCTGAAAATTTGAGCGTAATCGGGTGCTTCCTTCCGGAGATATAGCCGCGCAAAGTCTGCACAATTGTTTTTGAAATACTGAAATATCAGCAAATTTCTACAAAATTTAGGTTTGCACACTATTCCGATTTTTACCGTCAATCTTTGAGCGATTTCATTAAAATTTTCTGGAGCGACTCCTGGTACTCCTCTGCGCTGCAGACTGACAGCCGCGCACGATGTTTGTCACCATGGCAACCAAGGTAACCTTTGCGCATGCGCAAATTCAAAAAAAATTCAAATTTCGACTCTCATGATCTCAGCTGATCGCTCTGCTGTTGAAACTAGTTACTTTTGGAGTAATTGTTTTGGAGTAATTGTTTCTTGGAGCTAACCCCTTCGTTGGCTACTATGGGGAAGTCTAGAGCCAAGGGAAAGCCCGGACGATCTAAGAAAAGGAAAAGAACGTTCTATGGAGTGTCTCAGGCGCCGAAGGCTCCCTCTGGTGAAATTTCGCCTGCAGAACAAATTCCTGACTTGCCACTGTCTGATGACGACCTTGAAGTGTCAGCTGAAGCCACGTCTTCAAACAGCGATAGTGATGGAAGTGGCGGTGAAGTCGACAGCAGTTCCTCCGACAGTGACTTGGATGAAGAGTGTGAGGAAGGGGCGCATGGATTTCGCCTGATTGATCTCGAGTGCCTTCAGCAGCTTTTGTCAGCTGCAGTTTGTTGCAGTGGCTGTAATGGCGCAGTCACGATCAGCGAATCGCAACGGGGAGGCCTTGCATCATGCCTGGAGCTTTCCTGTGTTAACTGCGGCGACATAGCAAGCGAATTTATGTCCAAGAAGTTCAATCGGGTCTGGGAGGTGAACAGACGAGCAGTATTCGGAATGCGACTGATTGGCCGTGGACGTCAATCAATGGTAAAGCTGGCGGGTGCACTGAATATGCCATCACCTATGAGTCGGTCGACATTTTACAGCCATGCTAAAGGCCTGCATTCCGCGTCCAAGAGCGTCGCTGAGCGTAGCATGACTGAGGCAGCTGAGAAAGCAGTGTCCGCAGCAGATGGGGGTAGCGATATCGCTGCTTCCTATGACGGTACCTGGATGCGCCGAGGATTCGCATCGCTCTTCGGAGCCTTCACTATAATTGCATATGATGTCGGCAAAGTGGTGGACTGCGAAGTGCTTTCAAAGTTTTGCCACAAGTGCACGCACTTGGCGTCTAGAAAAGAGAAGGGAGAGCTAACCAAAGATGACTATGATCGACAGATTGCCGAACACGATTGCTCAGTCAACACCACTGTATCAGCTCCTGCCATGGAGAGTGCAGCCGCCAAGACTCTGTGGGCCAGGTCCTTTGAGAGCCGCAAGCTGAGGTACACCACCTACATTGGTGATGGAGATACCAAGAGTTTTAAGGCTGTGCGTGACGCTTGTCCGTATGGGCCCGAGGTGCCTGTAGTCAAGGAGGAATGTGTCGGCCACGTTCAAAAACGCATCGGTACCAGCCTAAGAAAGCTGAAGAAAAACCTTGCGGGCAAGAAGCTTGCTGATGGGCGCACTATAGGCGGACGTGGTCGCCTCACGGATGCCATGATCGACAAGCTGCAAGCCTACTATGGCATGGCTGTGCGGAACAACAGCGGAGACTTGCAAGCCATGGCCAGGGCCATATGGGCATCCCTCATGCATCGTGCATCCAGCGACAGTAAACCTCAGCACCAGTATTGTCCGCCTGGAATTAACAGCTGGTGTAGATGGCAGCAGCAACAGGCAGGTGGTGATGTCTACGCCCACCACAATATCCTGCCAGAGGCAGTATGGAAGGAACTGAAGCCGGTCTACATTCGGTTGTCCGACCGGAGTTTGCTCGAGCGCTGCCAGAAGGGTGCTACGCAGAATCGCAACGAAGCGTTCAATGGACTCGTGTGGCAGTTGTGTCCAAAGACAGGCTTTGCATCCGCTCCCACTGTCCAGATGTGCGTCTACCTGGCCGTGGCCTGGTTCAATGATGGAGGTGTGGCAGTGAAACGCGTTCTGGACGAGATGGGCCTCCCTACTGGACACCATACGACACGTCTCATCAAGCTGCTAGACCGTGAGAGACAGGCACATGCTGCCAGAAAGAAGTCAGAAGAAGGGAAGAGGTCACGAAAGAAGCGAAGGAGGATCAGGAAGGGCATCCAGGATGAGCAGCAAGAGGAAGAAGGTTTGACATATGAAGCTGGTGGCTTCGACTAAGTTCTAGTAAGTTCTAGTTGGACAGACATACCTCCATCTGTACTTGCACAGAGCACTTTTTTCTCCATTTTCCACTGAGTCCCGTACCTCTTAGACAGCGTAGCGAAGAACCTGTAAGTCACAGACCCCATAAACCATACATTTTTGGAAACTGTGAGCATTTATCAAGGTGCTAAGTGTCATGGATTTTTATATTTGTCTAGTAGCTTTGAGTAAAGTGCTACTGATCGAGGACCTAAATTTTGCGCGATTGCATGATTTTTTTTTGACAGCTTGAGTACTTTGTTCTGAATATGATTTCAAAATTCCGCTCCACTTAGCACCTAGGTATATGTGAAGGAAATTCTGTGGAGCACTCAGTTTCTACCCAGCTTCTTTCTGCGTTTGCATATTGCGTCTAAGGTATTGGTGGTACGGCATAATCGCAGATTTGACTATTGTGTCTGCGGATTCCCATGTGTGAGCTTGATTTATACTTCATTGGACTTAGTGAAATACACTGGGTATGTGGTCAAGATTTGAGCAAAATTCATCAATTATTATGGAAGTTACGGCTGTGTTCATGCGGTCGGGCCGCGAACCCAGACTGCCACCTTAAAACGTCAAGTCGAGTTTCGGTGATCAACGGTTGGATGTATTGTGTTTTGCCCTATAGCGTTCTTCGTAAGGAGAAATCTGAGTATGAATCAGCGCTGTTCAACCGAAAACCCCATAAAGAGTAAGTTATCGAGATTGCGCTGTGTCATTACATGTTTCTCTGACGACAATCCAATGTTATCATAGCAACTGAAACAATAATGGCAACAACAATGATTGAGGGACATGTTTTGGTTGATGCTCTGAATTCCAGACCCGTGATACTGCTAATTTACTGAACTGATTGCCTGGAGTAAAAACGAACATAATGCTTCTTAGACTTATGGAGTGGCATCTGCACACTCACAGCAAGGACCATAGGTTTAGGCTAACACAGTTGTGAAATCTAACCAAGTTCTTTGTTGTGATTGGGCAGATTGCGTGGGTTTTTTTGCACGGGTCAAGCCGAATGATGCGTTGCTCCCACTAAGCGGGAAGCACACACTTTTCCTGCCGACTTGACCTGACGCTTGACTGACACATAGATGGCACACGGTTGCTATAGATGTATCTCAACCGTGGCCTGGTTCTGGAATGCTGGTTAGCTGTATTGTGGTATCGGCTGATCAAGGAGAATGAGAGTGCTGTTTTCATCTACACCGTAGGAGTACAGGACTTCACTGAGCTTCTTTCTCACACCTCACATCAACCATAACTAGTGGACGGTTGACTGCGGGCAGCCATACTGCATTGCATTATTCTTCAAGGGTAATATCAGTGCATTTCTATGGAATAGGAAGAGGAAGGTACTGATCCATAACAACAACAACAAAAAGATTGCCAACAGCTAGCAGAATTGATACGCCCCGCACTAAAGAAATTAATTAATCATGACTAAACTGAAAGTGATACGATGAGAATTCTACGCATTTCACGTGCTTCACACCATAATTATATTACTGTATAAGTACAAATTTTCGTTTGGAATTAACTTTCGCTATAGTCGTTTGGGGGCACGAAATAACTAAAGTTTGTACCAAACTAAAGTTTTTTTCTGAACGTTCACGGTGACAGACCTCGACCAAAAACGAAATTTAGTGCGTAACAAGCCTGCTGGTGGAGTGATCTAACGAAAGACTTCGTGAACGAAAATTTGTACTTATACAGTAGTAAGGCAAACACAAGGGCGGGTGGGTGGGCCCCTGCAATGCAAGACAGAAAAAAGAGACCGATTCAAACTGTGCAAGCGCTTTTCAGCGCTTGTGTAGCGGGCCGCAGTCTCTCTCTCTCTCTCTCTCTCTCTCTCTCTCTCTCTCTCTCTCTCTCTCTCGGAGGCAAATGCACTCGGGTCTCAGTGAACACACTGTTGTTTACTATTACTGAACTAAACTGAAGACTACATTGTAAATTTTAAAACTCTGACTCTAACTCTAACTCTAAACGGCGTGTAACTCTGACTGGCGTTTCTAACTGGCATAACTGGAGTGAAGAGAATTGTGAACAGCAGCTTTTATAGGGTGAGGAACTGTTAGTGTAAGTAAGCCAGCCTATGACCAGGGGATGCGTCGAGCAGAAGAAGTAAGGTCAAAGTAAGATGTGTGGGCAGTAGAAGGGGTCACTGCACAAGGGATGCCATTTGATTCTATGCAGAAGAAGGAGGTGAATAGCGGTGTGGGCAATGGGCGTAAAAGAGGTACCGGGAAGACAGCCATTTGGAATTCTAAGGAAGCTTCATTAGAATGTGTGTAGAATCTGTAGATAAATGAAAAGGAGGTCGAAAGTGAAATGCGTCACTAAAGGTCAACAGGGTACATGTGCTAGTATTTCTCAGGTCATCCTAGTGTGTGGGAACAATACATGAATACAGTGAGACTAGTTACTACTCGAAGTATGCATGTCATGGGTCTGCAAGCACGGTAATAAGAGTTGCAAGTGCGGGGTGCGGTGCAGTGCAACACGCGTGTCCAATACATTGAAAGTGATTCACGCTGCAGCTGTGTAAGTTACTAGCGTGCCAACGCTACACTTGCGCGACCTTCCGTGTCATGATAGACACGAGCATAATATTCAAAAATAGATATTAAAAATAGAACAAAAAAAAACGCATCGCAGATGTTCGTCATTCAAAAGAACGCTGCTTCTCGTTTATTTCAAATATTCAACTTACGAGAAGTGTACACTTCCTTGATTCTATTTTTGTTTTGCATCTGACCCTCCTTCCCGTCTCTGTGCAGCTGTGAGCCCGACGAGCCGATTTCTCTCAACATCAGAAAGGTTGAGCGGCCTGCGTTGTGAGCAGGTACATGTGTACATGTATACCCTCGGTCAATGCTGTGTTGCTATGCCAATCACATGCAGCCGCCTGCTCCTGTATACAAGGCATAGTCCAAATGAACGGTTGCCATGGTGCTGGACCGAGAGATCCCGATCACCATGGCACCCATTTTGTTTTTGGACACTCTTTGCTCCTTTCAGTGGGAGCGCATGGGGAACGCCCTACCAGTTCTATATGTGCACCCATCGAACAGTCCATGTGTGTATTTTATGTTGCTTCGCTACTTCCAATATGGGGAGAGAAAAAAAGTGAGCTGCTGTTTATACATGTACATGTATGACTGAATGCCACTCCACCGTGTTGCAGTGTGTAGTGGGCGGCAGCACTACTTCAATAACCGTGATTAGCACATTCAGGCTTCAAGTCAGTACAAGGTTTTGCATCAAACTGCTCATGTTCGTCAGAATTACTCGATATGCCCTGCTCAGTTGCCGCTTAGGACACCCTTGGGAAGTCCAGGGAAGGAAACCAAAGCTAGCTGTTATACTATACTGACTCCAATATAATTATATACATAGTTGTCATGATGACTTACGATCATAATGATATAATTATATACATAGTTGTCATGATGACTTACGATCATAATGATATAATTATATACATAGTTGTCATGATGACCTACGATCATAATGATATAATTATATACATAGTTGTCATGATGACTTACGATCATAATGATTCCTTTCTGGCAAGCCCCTGGCCGAGATGACCCGCTTTATCACGGTCGCACAATCCGATTTTTGTACACACTTGGCTCATACTGCTCACCGCAAAAACGGTAGGGTAGATCCACCAGAACTGTCACGTTATATCACGGTTCCGCTTCTGGCTTCAAGCTGCTCAGCTTCTACTGCACTCTTCTTCATACTATAAGTTGTATGTCCCTAAACTCCACGAATTCTGGTCATAAAATGTTAAGATCTTAGAGCTTCGAGAAGGCTCGCCAACAACTGAGAAAACCTTGCATTACGCCCGAGTCTGTGATTGAACATCGGCTGCAGAATATGGCATAGGACGATAGATGTCCCGGTATGGCTGGGTACTGAGTGGTCTCGCAGTTTCTGCTTCACCCTGAACCCTGTGTCAACCCAGGGCTCAGCACCACTGGTACGGTGTGAACTTTTTCACCAATTTTCAGTGGTCATGCCCAGCATGAAATTACTTACTAGTATATGGAGTGCTGCTCGTCCACCCTACACTAGCGTCTCTCCCTCAGTCCTCAGAAAATGTTCTTCCTGTCCAGTGAGAACAACTTTGCTATCTGTATACCTGTTGCTTGCGGAATATGTAGTCGAAACGGCCAGAGATATGATGTAGCCTAGAGCCGCAGTAGAGGTTCGTCCCGAGTCCCACGATACTGAAATTGGGCATAGGGTCGCGTAGTAGTGATCGGCCCTGTGGCTCCAGGCATGCACTTGATGAAAGGTGCAATTACAACAATGATCCAATCTAAACGGACAGCCACCCACTATGCCACAGTAGTAGGGCTTCCTAAGTAACTTTACCCGTGATCTGGTAATCATTCGCATATTATAATGAAATCCAGTCGAGTCACTCAAGTAGGCGCCGGACGTTCCGCAGCGCCTAGACCTGAGAACACTGGGCTGCGAAATGATGCAACTTGGGTGCAAACTTAAGCCTGTGACGCGACTAGACTGCATGGAGCAGCAGTCTAGTTCTACTGATAATTGTTACTACATGTAGTAGTACTATGAAGTATGATGAGACAGGCTTTTAATTTTATACAAGCCATCACCATGATTACGGTATCCAGTCATTGTACGATCATCATTGTATGAGTACACACATACTGCACTGCAGGTCAGCACCCAGGCCAGCACTGCTCTGCTCCTGCACTACATTACAGTCCATTTCAAAACTATAGACGCGCAGGGTTTTTGAAATATTTCAAATTTGGCAGGACCTTTTTGAGAATAGTTTTCGGAACATTGCTCAGGACCGCTCCACAATTACTCTCATATAGTTTCTAAACGATTAGATAACAGACGCCCAATTTGGAAAAAAATTATGCACAAAGTGATCACAGATTTTATGTGGTATAGATGCTGGCATAACGGTTTTTGCCTAGGTACGCGTCTATAGTTTTGAAATGGACCGTCTGTATACAGTAGTACCAAGAGTACATACCAACTAGTCTACAGAATACATGTACATGTACTAGAACATTCACTGAAGCCAGTGTACATGACTGTACAATCATTACATTGTACTATATACACCTATTTATTATGCAATACTACAATCGCAGCTAGCTAGCTATCATGTACAGACCAGTCAGAGACTGAACAACAAAGGTTACAGTCATACTCAGTCATAGTAAAATAATTAGTTAGTTTAACATTACACTCAAACGCCTCTTATCCGGACGCCTCAGATACGGGCACGTCTCTCTACCGGCCACCCTCAGCTTGAGTTCCTATGGCAAAAATTAGTGTTGAAACGAATAATCGAATAATCGAATAATTAAATATTTAGAATATTCGTGGGGTGAACGAATAATCGAATAGTCGTAGGAATTATCAGAAATCGAAAAAAAAAAAAAAAAAAAAAAAAAAAAAAAAAAAAAACGATCTATGCTCAGTGCTGACCCTACTGATAACCGTTATTTGCACTGCGTAGATCTGCTCGTAGTATTTCTTCTCAAACTCTTCTCCTCCAAGTTTTAATCTCCTATCGGTATCTAGTAATACTTCTGTTCTTTCCATACGAGGGAAACATTATTATTATCAAATTTTTGATAGGGCAATCCCCACAGGCTTAAGGCCTTCTTACAGGGTACCCTAATTCGAACCTGCACTTATGCATTGAATGTGATGCCAGCGATAAACGCCTCATTGATATACACAAGCTAGGCATGCCACCGGGAAACATGGATGCAGTGAATGTGATTTTCGGTCTTTGACCACTTTCGACCAAGACCCTATGCAGAGCTGTATCAGGCGTTTTAACCGGTTTTGCACCTCCACATAACAAAATCCGATAATCAGCAAAAAAAATTTTTTTAACTACTTAAAAAGTGCTGAAAAAGTGTTGAAAAATGCCATCATGTGTATGATAGAATGTACATGTAGATTATTCGTTCGATGGAGGGCGAAATTATTCGATAGATTATGCGTTCGAAGAATCCGTGTTCGGTTTTTAAACACTAGCAAAAATGCTTCGAATTTGGGGGGTTGAACTTTTTTTCCGAATGCACAAGTGCTTATTTGTCACTGCCAACCTGTGTATACATGTAATCCATCCATTTTTATCCATGGATTATTTTTGTAACCTGAACATGTGCAGTATGCACCAAATTGCAAAAACACTTCTTCAAAAATGATAATGATACATGGTAGATGAGTTATCCTGAGATACGGGCAAATCTGAGATACGGGCAGTGCCCGGTCCCAAGGTGCTCGGACGTCTGAGTGTACATTGTAGTTGTTCAGTTTTGTAGCCTTGGCCATCACCAGATCACTCAGCTGATCATGAGCATGATGAAGAGGGCGAGTCTTTCATCATCAACATCTTTGTACACATGAATGAATGCTCGATGACCTGTGAACTCACATGACAAGTACCTGACATCGTCAGCTAGCTAGCTCGTGGTCGTAGATCTACGGCGTAGACCTACCGATACATATTCGTACAAAACAAGACTTGATCGCCTGCTATACTACTGTAGGCACTTCAGGTGTTTTTTTCAAAACCAGAAATACTCGTATTTCTTTCTTGTATCCGATTCAGATAGGTTTAGGAAGACTCCACAGAAAATTTGAAGCAAAAAGAATAACTTGGCACTGAGATATAGCCATCCAAAGTCGGAGAATTGAATAACGGCAATTTCAGTATTTCGATGGCACCAGCAGCATATCAGAATTGGCAGGACTTGCTTCAGTGTCTATACTATAGTGGCAAAATACCAGGCTCGCTGGAAGCAGGTCAAAAATAACCAGATGAATGCAGAAACAGCATGGTTTGGAAAAACTTCGCATTTTTCATCCGTCCGGCAGCTCATACGAAGTTATCGGGTGTGGTCACCATGGCAACTCCATAGCAACAGCATAGCAACTCCATCGCAACAGCATGAAAACAGTGCAGAGAAGCCTTTGGAAAAGCATATGATGAGACTTTGAGGTAAGATAAAGTAACTACAATAATTCAGTGCCAGAACACATTGTTGCTACATGTACAGTACTGACTTGGTGACGAGTACGGAAGAACAATGAGCCGCAGACTGAATTTTACCGGGTATTTGACGGAAAGAAATGACAAACTATCACATGTAGAACATCGTCTGCAAATTTTTGGGACTACTGAAACTTCAGCAACTCCAGCATGAGAGATTTTGTGCATAGAGTGTGTGCTGGATTCTTGGTATAATATCACCGTCAATGCTTTTCTTGGTCGCTGGAAGCCACCTGCTGATCAGCTGACGATTTTTTCCAAGCAGGCCGTTTTGATGTCAGCTCTCTTGGTCCAGTCGCCGAAGTATATACTGTCCTACTCGTCGCCTGCAGGAGAGGACGACTGCTCCGATGCGACTCCAATAACACCTGGCAATATTTCTTCTTGCGCAGCCATGCGCATGGGCTCCGACGAACAAGGACTACTGCCGCGGCTCGCTTTCAATAACACCTCACATTATTTCTTCTTGCGCAGCAATGCGCAAAGTGTCGGACGAACGAGGACAACTGATTCCGAAAGGAAATACGACGCTGAAGACGATGAGCTACATGGCAAATGCGTGCAATCAAGTGAAATGCCCAAAAAATCCTTGCCGATTTTACTCGAACTGTACGTGAGTTCAAAAAATTGCCGCATCGTGACGTATGCGGGCTCAAACGAAAGCTGAGGGCCTCAGCTACACGCTGCGCCACACGAGAAGGCCCTGCGCAGCTTCCGTGCAGCTACAGATCGATCTATGCATGCGCCTGCCTTTCCGTGGTGCCACGCATGTACGCGATTCAGCGTTAGCACTTTTTGACAGGCCATGTCACGTGACTGAAATGCCTAGGCTGCCGAGTAGATCTACGACTGCAGGATCATGGAGCATGCTATGTACACTAGCATGGCGCGGCGTCATCTTTTCGGGGACGAAAAAGTGGATTTACAAAAAGAATCACTTGCACCACCACGTGGGAGGCGTCGAGGCAGTTGATTGTCGTACTGTCATGTACTACTTTCACCGCACATACATGTAGATCATGTAGATACCTAGTACCTACGGTATGTGTATACGGTAGTACTACGAGTCGAGCCTCCGCTTGAATAAAAATCTTTGACGAGAGCAACGTGCAACAACAACAACTCGTTCTTTTCACATCAGTGCATTGCTTGACCGGGAGCTCCTTTTCCACTTCTCCTTCAGCGTCGCCAGCATGAAGTCCGCTGTGCTCATTCTGGCCCTTGTGGCCATGGCTCAAGCCCATGTCATCCGGTCAGTATCCCAGATCAGGAAATAATTTGTTTCGCGTGTTTGTAGGTGTAAAGTTGAAATAATAATTGAATGGACTGTTCTTGCCATGACTGCATGTCAGTTCGGTGGAATTCTGCATGAGTTACTAATCTGGTTTGTGTTGTTCGTTTTTGTATTTACAGGGTACCACTGTACCGCATGGAGTCTGTCCGCCGCTCCTTGGCTGACAAGGGCACCAACATTGACGCAGTGGAAAAGGCTTTGGCCCGGAAATATGGCATGGCTGTTGGTGGTCCCGGAGATGAAATTTTGACCGACTACAAAGATGTAAGCAAAACTTGCTAGTTATTATTTTAAAACAACGGCATTGCTTTTTGCGAGCTCCAGTGTGTGTAAAGAGATCGATTGGGTGCAATCTGCCTTTTCTGGCCATTTCTGCATGGGCAAGAATGGATTTGCTGTACGTTATCGTAGTATCCAATTGGTGCCCAATTATGACCTTTCTATAGAAAGCGCCCTGGATTAGTAATGACTGATCGACTGTTTCAATTATTATTTTGGCTGCTCTTTACGTGGCCCTATGTTGCAGTTGTGGACACTTGCTTTACAATTGCTGTAAAAATTCTGCAGTGCTAGAGTACAGACATTAACCTTTGCCAAGTACTATGCGTACATGACTAACTTACTTGTGGGTGGTGTTCGAACAAAAAATCCTTGCGGGTACCAACGGTTGTCTAATTGTGTCAGTTGATTGTCTCATGTTGGAGCACGTTCGATTTTTGTTTGGATGTTTCAGTGGCTGATCAGCCCATACTGGCAGGTGTCAGCCAGATGACAACAGGCAGCATGCACATGATCTGCACGCTAGTATGCATACCTGCCAGCATACTCCGCTTTGGGCGGCTATGCATGTGCACCTTCTATTGCTGTTCGAAGGGCAAAGGGACAGGGTCATCGGATCGAGGAAAAAAATTAAAGAAAAAATTCGACGGGTTCGCACCGGGCAGGTCAAGAACAAGGAGTCGTACAACTCCCTGGTCAAGAACCACCTTTCCGCTTCCGTGGGACGCCACCACCCCATGATCAGGCGTCAGATGCGGCTCCTAAACGGATCGAGAGCCAAGGATTAATTTAACAAGAGAAAAATGGACCAAGGAACTACAAGTTCCGCCATAATGTCCACTAACACCACCAGTTAGTAAACAATCAGTTCGTGTGCAATAGCATTGCACAACATTGACCGACGGTACTGACGTTCTACAACTAACTGGCTAACAGCTCTAGCACATCTTGGATGTGCACTCCAGCAGCCTTCCAACTTGGAAGGTTCTAAGTTAGAAATAACATAAGGAGGGGAAGGTGAGCGCAGCCAAGATAAGCACGAGCTGAAAATCTCAGCTGTGAAGGACTTTGGCAGATGTTCATGCATGTCGATGGCGATACTGGCAAGACCATTGGACAATACGGTCAAACCACGATTCAAGGACGCAAAGCAACATTCCACACATTATTGGCTCTCAATCCGAGTACATTCCTGCACACCTGATGACCCGTCCTTATCTATACGACGAAACGATCGTCGTGTGAAACTGCTACTTGTTACCGCTGCTTATTGTCATCTTAATTGTCATAGTCGAAGTACAGTGCTGTTTTACTGAGGCGTTCGTTTTGCACGATTCTTGTTCGCATAGCTCCCCCTTTTATCTTTTGAGCCACATAAGTTTTGTGGAATGTTGCTTTGCGTCCTTGAATCGTGGTTTGACCGTATTGTCCAATGGTCTTGCCAGTATCGTCATCGACATGCATGAACATCCGCCAACGTCCTTCACAGCTGAGACTTTCAGCTCGTGCTTATCTTGGTTGCGCTCACCTTCCCCTCCTTATGTTATTTCTATAACTTAGAACCTTCCAAGTGGGAAGGCTGTTGGAGTGCGCATCCAAGATGCGCTAGAGCTGTTAGCCAGTTAGTTGTAGAACGTCAGTACCGTCGGTCAGTGTCGTGCAATGTTATTGCATGAGCTGATTGTTTACTAACTGGTGGTGTTAGTGTATATTATGGCGTAACTTGTAGTTCCTTGGTCCATTTTTCTTTTGTATAAAAATAATAATCATTTTATAGAAAAGAATGAAAATCTCTCGTTAGATGTGAATTTTAGAGGTTAAGTTACACGTGCGAAGTGACGTGAAATGTTGCGTCGCAGGATTCGGGTTTAGTTCACACAAATATCAAATCTTCCAACAAACTCGATACAGAAACTCACACAAATTCGATCGGGATTACCAAGCGAAACTTCCAACAAACTCACGTCACGAACTTACGCGCGGGACAGTCAACTCGCGTAAAACACGTCAAATTTTACGTGAGTTTTTTTTAAATCTTCGACGTAAAAGTTCACGGACGTAAGAATTTTACGTGAAACTTAACTTCTCTAATGTCCACTAACACCACCATTATAGCGTAACTGGTTGTTCCTTTTTCTTTTCTATAAATTTTGCCTTGGCTCTCCATCTGAATAATCACTTTACTAGGATGACCCTAAGTATGGTCATACCACATTCTTTGTTTCCTGAACCATTCTGTGCTCTCTGTGTCTCCCTCTCCCTTTGCTCCAGGCTCAGTACTATGGCCCTATCACGATCGGTACGCCCGCACAGTCATTCAATGTCATCTTCGACACTGGTTCATCCAACTTGTGGGTGCCAAGCTCCAAGTGCCCGATCACCGACCTTGCTTGTGGTACGTAATGTTTCTAGTATTATTGATAGCATTCATGTCACTGCTTAGGTGCAGCTGTGCAACTGTGCAACATTAGTATGAGTGGATCAACTAGCTCAGGGCTTGCAAACGCATGGGGAGCAGAGGGTATTGTCGGTGTATTCTGTCAATCCCACAGTGTTCTGTGCACTAACAGTATCCTTGCCAGGCTTGATGCCTGCTATGCCGTGTGCGCTAATGCATCATTTCCTGATCAGCAGAGCTGTGGTTATTTGAGTCAAATCTTCATCATCATCTTTAACCCAATTTTGGTTCATGATAACTTTGATAAGGAAATGATGCACAAACACACAGTATGCGGCAGGCATCAAGCCTGGCACGTTCAAATTCAACTATACAATGGGTGCAGTGTGTTTATGCATCACTTCCTGGTCAGCTGTGATTATTTTGCAGTGGTTGTGTTGGGTTGTGCATCATGTCCTGGTCAGGATGGCTGTGGCCATTTTTGTAAAGCTATGCCGTATAAACTGCTTAGTGGAAATGGTGGGGTTATACATCACTTCCTGACCAGGACATGCCGTTATTTTGTGCAGTACGTATCCGCTATAGCCGGGTTGGCGGCTAAGTGCGGGACGTTTAGCTCTGATATGTACGTGCCTGAAAGCATGCGGTCCACGACACGAGATTTCTGTTTCCATGTGTGTGTGTGTGTGTGTGTTGTCAGATCTCCATCACAAGTACCACAGTGACCGCTCTTCCACCTACAAGGCAAATGGATCCTCGTTTGCCATTCGCTATGGTACTGGCTCGCTGAAGGGATTCCTCAGCACTGACTCCGTTTCCGTAAGTCAGTGTGTGTGTGCTTGTGTGTGCCTTGCTTGTTTAATTTAGCAGGTAGTACATGTATGACACATGGCAGCTTGGTAAAAGGTGGGGGTACAGGCAGCACAGGCAGTAGTGCTCCTTGCTCCCAATGTCCACACACACTGAGGCCTGTGCTCCTTGCTCCCAATGTCCACACACACTGAGGCCTGTGCTCCTTGCTCCCAATGTCCACACACACACTGAGGCCTGTCGTTTTCGCGCACATGTCCGAACGAATTTTTCTCTCAATTCAGTTTACCATGATGGATTTTCATCATCCTGGGCTTGTTGGAAAGATCAGGACCAAGCAAATCCATCCTGGTAGCTCTCAACTCAATATGCACAGCGGTGCAACTTCTACGTCCTCTTGAAGCTACATCACGATGCCTCGGAAGGCACAGGAACTCAATCTCACATTCTTTTTCAGTTTCTTGCTTCAGGTCAGCCGATTTTCACGATTCAAACTGCACTGCAAAGCTGAGATCCACGTGCTTCCGCTGGTGTCCATTACGCATGCGTTGTGCCAAAGGGAAATCCCCTGGCACGCAACAGAAAACTGCGAACGCATGAACAAAAAATTCACGATCGCTCAGTGCCGTGAATTTCGTGTTCACTTTGTCGCCGCCCCGTCAATCTTTCTCCTATCGCAAAGAACTTTATATCGCTGGAAAGCTGAGCTGAAAGCTGAGCTGAATACCTTTCCAACGGTGTATTGATTGTCGCGATAGACTTATTTTTCACGGAGTTACGAGAGTTTGTACACTGGTCTATGCACTGCGATGTACTGCGCAAATCTCATGACGTCATTAGTCGTTTGGCGTACTTCACGCATGACGTCTATAGCCGTCATTAGCACGGAAAGGGTTAAAGTGGGTCCTCCGCCTTGTGTGAGTGCCGTACAACGTGTGTGTTGTGTCGTGTTTGCTTACCAGGCTGTCCAACGGTGTAATGTAGTTTGTACTTCTAGCTTGGGCCTGGTTTGAATTCTGGCTTTGAGATTTTTTTATTTTGTTGGTACCAAGTTCATACCGGTACTCAGTTCTCCGTGTTACCCCTTCTGCATCCACAAAAGGCTAAACAGCACTCCATGGACCGATTGCCATTTGTACAGATCCACGAAATCCCGTAGAATCCCGTAGACCCGGTAGGGTGTTGAATGTGCAGGATCCTATTGTGTTTTCTGCTATTTCCACTAAGAAATGGGGCCTGAAGGCATTTCATACGAAAACCTTTTTTCTGACGAAGATCTAGCTTGTCATTAGTTCTAACCAAAGTGAAGAAGCTGGAAAAGCGATTGCTGGTCATTGAATTATGACGCTAAAAAGGTCAAATGCGCATGCATAGCACACAATGAACACCCTACCGGGTCTACGGGATTTCGTGGATCTGTACAAATGGCAATCGGTCTATTGGTTTGCTCCTGCCCCTCCTTGCAGAATTTCACACTGCTTTTGCGATAGTGCTCAATCTTGGTTCTACTTTTGTTGACAGCCTGTGATGTTGAATATGCTTATTGTTGTTTGCTGGGCATGTGCTGTTCACAGATCTCCTTGTTGACTGTGAGGAACCAGACATTCGCCGAGGGAACTAACATCCCCGGCTTGACCTTCATCATGGCCAAGTTTGACGGCATTCTCGGTCTCGCCTTCAGCAAGATCTCCGTCGATGGAGTCACCCCAGTCTTCGACAACATGGTGCGCCAGGGCCTTGTCAAGGAGGCTGTCTTCTCCTTCTGGCTGGACCGTAACCCCGAGGGTCAGCAGGGTGGCGAAATGCTGCTTGGCGGTATTGACACTAAGCGCTACACTGGCGACATTGCCTGGGCACCACTCAATTCTGAAACTTACTGGCAATTCAAGATGACCAGGTGAGGGTTCAATCTTACTCAACCAGGCATACATGTGCGGGGGTTGTTTGTCATGGCATACCATGTTGATTGAAACACGATAAGTTTGATGAATAGTGGCAGTTAGTTCTTCCACTTTACCAGCTGTTGAATGGTGTTATCCCGGCACGAGTGGCTGTGGCTTCTGCTACAGCGGCGCTGCCAGCGCCTCCGGTGATGTGCATCTGTGTGCTTGTGTAGCTGCTAAATAGCTAGTTACGTTGTTGTCTGACTCTGAATCCTGTCGTGTACCACTCTGTGTGTCTGTGTCCAGTGTGAGCGTGGCTGGCGGCGGCAGCTACTGTGGTGGTTGTGATGCCATTGCTGACACCGGTACGTCCCTCTTGGCTGGTCCAAAGGATGAGATGGACAAGCTGAACAAGGAGCTCGGTGCCACCCCTATCATCAGTGGAGAGGTAAGCTTGTGTACTACATTGTTCATGCAATCTAGCACGTAACTGGTATGTGATGTGTGCAGTTTGTTCCCAAAAAAAGGAACAATCAAAAGTACGGCTATGGTACAATCCTGTATGCTGCAGAACATCTGATCACTGTATGTATTTCGAGTCGTCGTTGCCAGTACATGTACTAGGCAACCCTTGTTATGGGCATGGCCACATTCCAGTGCATTCTACTCCAGTACATGAGTAGATAGCCATTGTTTGACTACCATCACTTTGGTAGTGCTTCTCATGCTCCTCCAGTACGTCCTGGCTCTTATCTGAATGTTTTGTGTATGTTTGTTGTTGTTCCTGTTCAATACAGTACATGATTGATTGCAGCAAGATCGACACTCTGCCTGTCGTCAGCTTTGTTATCAACGGCAAAACTTTCGCTCTGACTGGCAAGGAGTACGTCTTGAAGGTAAGCCGAAGCAGCATCTATTTTAGGTAGTAGGTTTTGATCTACAAGTGTTATTGCTAAGAAATCTCGCTCATGAAACAGGCATGGTTCATGTGGGAGGTTGGGGCTTTGCTACAACTCATAGTATGTGTATGTCTTTGGGAGGGGGATAATAGGTTTCGTCAGCCATTCACCCATTCACAATGTTTTTATAGTGTAGAAACTGTCTGATTTTATTAGGAATGCCGGGAACTTGTGGGAAGGTTGGCATCAGTTCCAAAAGTAATTGTAAAGCGGATTTCACAGAAAGATTTTTGCGATGCAGTGCCCGTCCACCTAAAAAATCCCGAATCGCACCCACTGTGCAAACACCCAGCTTCTTTGTTTTGAATTTTGTGTATGGTGTGTGTGTGTATCCAGGTGTCTGCTGGCGGCCAGACCGAATGCATCAGTGGCTTTGCCGGCATTGCCCTGCCCAGGCCTCTGTGGATCCTGGGTGACGTCTTCATCGGTGCCTACTACACCGTCTTTGACAAGGCCAACGAGCGTGTCGGCTTTGCCACCTCCGTGCAAGGCTAAGAAACGAGTGCTCATGCACATCCCTAACACATCGTAACTTCTTGCAGCTGCATGCCTCTCTCCCCTCTGCTTCTATCATTGTTGTTCACATAGTATTGCCAAGTCGTGTGTACGTGGAATTCGATCATCAGTGACTTTTTTCTTTGCTGACTCTTTTTCTTCGATGTGTTCACTCTTCAATCATTCTTCTTTTCGTGATGCTGCTGTAACTCGGTGTGTTATCTCCTCTTGACCTTACTCCCGCTGCTCTTAACCAGTTCTTGTAAGTGTGTGGACCTGTGTGTTTGGTCTCTTCCACATTGTACCTCGTGTGTGTTGCACGCGAGTCTGATTAGGTGCATGAGAGGTGGTGGACCACGAACTAGTACCAGTACTGGTATCTGACTGGCCCGAGCGCCGTCACCTCATTGCCAAACGTGTTTAGCCGCAGCGCGGACAAGAGAAGCAAAACTCAGCGGTGGAGAGAATTGAGGAACTGGGGAGCACATGACAATGTATGTACCGTGAAGTACCGTTGATCCGCCCCCTATCGAGCGACTTCGGAGGTGTTGAACGGACGCATGCACTGCTGTACACCACACGTGCCAGTGCAGGATGAAAATGTGAACAATCTATCCAGCACCCCGACTGGCCCGAGTCTGACCTTCCACGTTGTTGACTGTTGTACATTGAACTGCACTTGACAACCTTGATCTCGCCCCTGCTGAAAAATCCGACCTGGATACAATGATGTAATCAGAACTGATCCAGGGCGCCAGCTTTGGTCGAATTTCACCTAGCGCAACTAATACCGGTAGTACTCGTACTCCCAAAACGAGCATGCACCCCTCTGCATGGGTATGTAGATATGGGAGCCACCACCAGCAAAAAAACTCGCATCACGCGTGTGTTAACCGTTCTATGCGTCCGGAATGCTGTACGAGCAACAAAGCAGAACTAAAAACAGCACTCTCCTGATGGAAAGTTACTCTCTTTTGACGGGTAGCGAACCGTCTACGGAAATTGCAGGGAGATGCCATTCGACGACTCTGGGAAATAAATCAAAAATTTATTTTGAAAAAAATCAATTGGAAACTAGAGCCCATGTAACTCAACCAATCCTAAAGCATAAAGTGCAGGATGAACTAGCATTGGCCATCAGAAAGAACTGCAAGTGTGTACATGCAAGGTATAACCGTTATCAAAAGAAGTTCTTCTCAGCAGGCAACACCCAAGAAGTAACTCGTTTGCCTTCATTTCTCGGGTCTGAAGGATCAACTACAGCAAAATGTCCCAATCATAATTATAGGATACGTTCAACTCCAGTACAAGATCCCAGCCAGTGCAACATGCCTACTTGTACAACAACGTAACGAACCCTACCACATAACTACTGCTATGCGTGCACATGTTTTGGTCGACTAAAGGACTAAAGGATGAAGGATCCTGAAGACAGGCGGGGGGATCTTGCCAGCACACCAGTAACGTACACAAGCTAGAAAGGAACAATAAAGTACTGTATGAAAAATAATATAAAAAATGGATGTGCAGCCAGCACACATTCCTCAGATGAAAGCAACACCTACTAACCTACAAACTTTGCTAAATCAGCTGGACTAACGTTGCCACCAGTGACCACTGCAACGACATTCTTGCCCTGGATGTCGGGTATCCTGCCAGACAGTAAAGCGGCAACAGATGCTGCACCAGAGGGCTCCACCACCTGTCCACAGCTGTACAGAGCTTTCATTGCCCTGCAGAAAGAAGAAACGGTAAGCATACAACAGAACAACAACGCACAGTGTGTATGATGTGAAGGCAATCAGTGCACAGGCGGCAGAATAAATCCATCGCCTGGTTCGCACGGAAGTGCCTGCTCCGAGTACCAAACCGCACAGAACCAGGGACGAAACCCGGGGCTGGATTTCATTTACATGATTAACAAACATACTCCTTCCCTGGCCTCTGGCTGGGTCCCAACACCAGACAGTCATAGCGTTAGGCAGACGACATCACATTCCAGCACAACGGCGCAGTGTTCAATGATGTAAGGGCGGGTGGGGGGGGGGGGGGGGGGGGGGATCAGCTGGAGACGTGTTGTATGCAAACTTACGCCACAATTTCATCATCTGTGACGAGTACGACTTCCTCCACGAATGTCTGCACATGTTCCAGTGTCAGATCACCTGCACAGTGACAACACCATACACACACAGTGTAGCTACATGTGACTTACAATGAACGCAGCAATTCCCAACATGACCCATGGATATTTTAAAAATGTATGCACTCCGCATCACACATACACACCATCAACTGGAGACTATGGCATGAATTCGATAACGATCGACCATATCGGATCTCAAAAAATGTTGTCCCTGGAAGCACACGGTGTGCAAGAAATAATTATGTTGGTTCCTAATGCGCAACAGCGAGCAGAATAGCAAGACCAGCACAAGCAGACTTCGGAGTAACATGAACCGACTGCGGCCCGTATTCACTTCGAGGGTGGTTGTTACTTGTTAGCAGTGAGTGAAAACGCACAGGAACAGTGCACATGTAAAGTAAAGTTCGCACGTCCGCGTTGCTACCGGCTATACAGCTGTGTTGAGACACAAAACACTTGCAGCTTAGGAAGTTTGGCTTGCGCCAGGCCACCATCATGCCTGAGATACCAGGGTATACATGTAGTTAGAAGTAGCTAGAACTAGACTGTGACCCACTCACACTCACCTGCCATGGGTGGTGACAGACCAGTCGCTATAGACTTGGCATTGCAGCATGTGGCCGGCCGGCCATCTTGCAAGCTCTGGTGCATCTTGGGTGCTATCCAGCCGGCCGGTACATGCATGACACAGACATAGGCACAGACGAAGACACAGGGTGCAAAACTTACACACACACAAAAAACCAGAAGGACCGCAAGTCAGCGAGAGACCACTGTTGTGGTGTGTACTACAGCGCTGCTCAATGAAATCCAATCGCGCGAGTCAAGTGAGCGCCCTGCACCATTTCGCAGCCCCATTGTCCACAGGTTGTACAGCACCCGACGCGTACTTGACTCACTCGATCGCATTTCATTGCAGCAGCAGCACTGTAGAAGAGGAGCCACCCACATAAAAACACGGACAAATCATTTCAACACTACGCCCTCAGGACACACCCAAAGGCCATGTACACAAGTTAGCAATGAAGACACTTGGATGGTTCCGGAGCAGGGTGCTGTGAACCTACATGTACATGTACTCGACTGCACAATCATGTCCTGTACATTGGGACACTCTGTGGGATCAACAGAACACTCCACACATACACTAGCACAATACAACCGGTCCTACGTAACAAGTTCGACAACATGAACTGATCGGCGGACAGCTTACCTCCTTCAGGCTCCACACCATAGACATGAATGTCCCTTCCGAACATGGCCGTGCCAGGAACAAGCGTTGCATGCTTCACGGCCGCAGCGACACCAGAGAGAATACCACCACCGCCGCAGCACACAATGACCACATCCACGTCCGGACAGTCGTTCAGTATCTCCAGACCGCAGCTTAACAAAACACAGCACACAGAACAACACAACACAGCACACACACACACACACACACACACACACACACACACACACACACACACACACACACACACACACACACACACACACACACACACGTACATGTACAAGCGTACACCATGTACACACACACACACACACACGCACACACACACACACACACACACACACGCACATGCGCACAAACGCATGCACATTCAAGCACAGGCTAGAATTTCAGACTAGGAGGGCGGTGAACCGGAGAGAAATTAAACTATAAAATAGATGAAACGAAAATACGGGTGAAGTGACGATGTGACAACTACTTTACGATGGCATCCAAGAGACATGAAACCAAACATCACCAGACTACATTGAACAAACATGACCAAGGGAGGAATGGAGGACAACTCTTCCTGTAGACCAGTCTAAAGAAAACTGGAGCCAAAGTGAGAGAAAGAGCTTGACCTGAAGACGGTGAAAGTCACCCATAATTGCCAAGAGATCAAAACAGTTCAACTCTGGACGACATCAATCCCTGACACAAGGGCAATGGGAAAGGAGAGAGAGAGAGAGAGGCTTTAGCGAATCTACACAATCCCTTTATACAAGTACATGACTACATGTGCGTGCCAAATAACAGGTGTGATTCTGGGCGCAAAGGTAATGGTGACAAGATTCAACACATGACACAAACCAGGCATTGCACCACATCACCCAGTCACACTAAAACCCAGTCACACCAACACTGTATCACATTGCCACGACATGAAACAGCGTTATGATCATAACAATCTACACTGAATGTACATGAAGAGTAGTCACGGCAAGAAAAAAGCTGAATGAAAACAAATGCATTGCACCCCATTTAGCACCACAAGAGCACAGTGTCAGTATGACTACTTCGAAGTACACACAGGTTGCTTCACACAGGTCTTAGCCATCTCTTGAGCTATTTTGTTGTGAGCCTGGTCCCTCGCCTCTACCATTACCTCGGCGACATATCCGCCACGTGAACTATCACATGGCGGTAGAGGTCCGACACATGCTTTATGTATGGTGTGAAAAGCCGTCCGTCAAAGCAGGGAGGTGCAAGTATCTTTCGGCTCCTTTCATTAGACAGAAAGCGCTGGCATAGCAAAGGTGCTTATAGAGTGGTGCTGTCCTCTACGGCAAGTGTCGCATTTCACTTGCTACAACTGTAGTTCATGAGTACTCGTACACAGACGTACAGTACAGGTGGAAGCCTGATAATCCAAATACAGTGAAACTTGTCTAAGCCAACCACTTTAGGGACCTTCAAAATGTGGTCCCCATGTACAGGTGGTCTCCTTATCCAGGGTCATTTGACTGCAAAAAACAGGTGGTCTCCTTATCCAGGGTCATTTGATGTCTCCTTATCCAGGGTCATTTGACTGCAAATAACAGGTGGTCTCCTTATCCAGGGTCATTTGACTGCAAATAACACCCCCTAGGCCTAGTTGTAGTGGTCTTCGGAGGCAGGTGGTCACCTTATTAGAGTGGTCGCCTTGACAGGTTTTACTGTACGGCATACTTCTAACACACCGCTAATTGGAATTTTCTTCCAGCACCAGTAAACATGATTTCCACACAAGAATGTCGGAAAAATCGAGCCTCAGACTACAAGAGTACGCCTACAAGAGTACTACAAGAGTACGCCTACAAGAGTACGCCTAATTAGAAGTTTCACGAAAGCCATCTACTAGTGCATGTACAGTCGTCGGCAAAAAATCCGGACAATGCTATGCGGGTAATGCTATGCAAGCTACCGGTAGCTGTCTAGACTCTAGCCTAGTGCACGGCACATGCCCTGCTGCCAGGCCTGCATACACTCAGCGCAGTGCTCGACCCGACTGCATGCAGCAGGCAGAGTGCAGCGCAGACTGTTCAGAGCTGTACTGCCACTGACAGCCTGTAAATACATGCCACCATGCCACCATGAACGATGAAGTACCGCCGGTGAACGCGTACACTGTCTGTATCCATGGTAGTGGCCGGATTGTTTTGGCGACGGCTCTACATGTACATAGAAAATGTGCGGGGTTCCTATCCGAAGTCAGCAAAGCGTAATTCAAAGTTCACTATACACTGTACCGGTTGGTTGAATGTGCGTGAACAGACTGTACTGGCCCAGTTTAAGGCACGCAAAAACGTACTATACTACAGTGCAGCAGTGTGTGACGTTGCGAGCATTTTGACACACATGGACATAAGCAATAGTATTGTGTTGTGGGTGATTGTTGGGATAATCAATGTCCAAATAATTAGAAGTTAGTTTTACCCAGTCCAACATGACCCGAGCATGAAATTACGATTGTTGTTCACACGCCATACCTGCCATGACCGGCAATGAGATGGTTGTCGTCGAACGGGTGAAGGAAGAACATGTCGTCTTGGGTTATGTGCCGGTCAACGGTCGATTGGATCTCGGAGTTAGGCACGCGTTCCACTGTCGCACCGTAACCCTGGAAAGAACAGAGCAAATACATGTAGTCCAGGTTAGGAGCAAAGAACCAAACATGGAGACAACCGAGTAGTCTCAGACAAAGACAAAGCAACAGACATCAAGCAGTGGAAAGCAGTGGATATCTACATGTAAAAGCGAGAACAACAGGGACTGGGGACTGGTGTCCCTTCACTGCTTATCCAGTTGCAGGACTAGCTAGCCGTGTCAACGCTGTCAGGTACGCATGTCAGGCTCGCACAAACTACAAAATAGTGAGGACTGTTCGCCACAGCAAACTTTAAAAGCGTTAATGTAAATCAAGAAAGCCTGTGGCTCACAGCACAACAGCTCCAGAAAGCACTTCAGAGTAAGTATTGAGATCAAGAAGGTCTCAAAGGACAACCGTTGAACATCATGGGCTGAGATACTAGCCTGGAACAGAAACAATATAACAAACGGATTTTGTTTGCCAGAGGAATTCACGTCCCAGTGTAGGCGTCTAAGCACAGATAGCATGTCTAACTTACCTAGTACATACAAGTGATCATATACTACAGTTGCGCTCGGTGAAATCCGACCCAAAGTGCAAAACCGGCGCCCTATACCAGTTATGATTACATCATTGTATTTGTACGTGTGTACGTCCAGCCGCATCCGTGCCACTTCCACGGCGTCAAGGGCTGTGCAAAATGAGGGCGCCAATGTGCACTCAGGGTCGGATTTCACCGAGCGCAACTGTAGTAGCTTATCGTGTACCTCAATGAGTTGAACACGGTCAAGCGGTGCAAACTCCGGCATGACAACAGTCGCTCTCAGTTTGTTCTGCTTGCAGAGGAGAAAGGAGAACGATCGGCCGTAGTTGCCACCGGACATGGTCACAACCTGACGGTCTCCGCTCAGCACATCCTTGGGCAGGTTCTTCATCTGATTGGCCAGGCCCCGGATCTTGAAGGAGCCTGTACACAACAACACGAAGACACACCAATTCCAGTTGCCCTTCGGCCAGGGCTGATTCATGCAAGTTGCACATGGCATCACTGGTCTGGACTGTGTTAAAGGGGAAGTTAAGGCAAAAATCAAAATTTCACCAGTTGTAGTCTTCTGGGTGCTGAGTCGAATGGTCTTGGTCCGAGAAAGCTGAGACGCTCCCTTCCTACTTGAATCCCAATCGAACTCGCGCACTTCCACCGAAACTGGGTGACTGCGCCCTACTAGATGGGGATTTGTATGCAAAATGTCACTAAAAGCGCCATTTCGTTCTCATAAAAGCACGGATGACCGCGATTGGCCCATATGTTGTAGTCTTTTGGACGCTGAGTCGACTGGTTTTGGTCCGAAAAGGCTGCGATGCAGCGTTCCTCCTTTATTCCCAATCGAACATGGTTGAACAAGCGGTCACGTGCTCCTGCGTACACCAGTCACCTGGTCACCGTGCCTGCAGGGTACAACTTACTAGCCTGTTTGACCTTTTTTGGGTGCAGTCCTGTCACTCGAGTTGAACCTTGGTGTGAAAGTTGTCGCCTGCTGGCGTGGTGACCTGGTGATTTGGGCACCCAGGAGCACGTGACCGCTTGTTCAACCAAGTTCGATTGGGAATAAGGGCCGAACGCTGCATCGCAGCCTTTCGGACCAAAACCAGTCGACTCAGCGTCCAAAAGACTACAACATATGGGCCAATCGTGGTCATCCGTGCTTTTATAAGAACGAAATGGCGCTTTTAATGGAAGTTTCCAGAGGAGGAAGGAGGAAACTGTAGTTATCACCAACCCTCACCGCGCCCAGCTCACGCCGCTACGGCGTGCGACCTGAGCTGGGCGCCCTGCCCAGTATGGAACTGGCCTCAAGACAGTCACGTATTCGGCAGCCCAGTGAGCTGTCTACCGGATCGCAGCGTTTAGAAGCGCCAAATGCGGCAGGACCAGTCTCAGGCTGGTCGCGTAGGCGGCAGGCCGGTGGGCGACCGGCAAGGCTGCATTCGCATTTGGATCACCGAAGTGATACAGGTGCTTCGACGGCACTCCGTGGCGCATCAAGGAGGCATCTGGGGCCCAGGCAGCCCGCCCGTAAGCGCACCACCGTATCAGGTATGCGCAGGTGGAGCAGCAGAGCAAGATGTGTGCCTGACACTCACCATCATCCGGTCGACCGCATGGTTGTGCGACTTTACACAGCCGTCACTCATTACTTGCTATTGCTTGCAGAAGGCCAGAATTTTTTTTTTCTTTTTTCGCTCTTTCCCTTCTTCCAGGCACGGCTTCATGTTAGAGCAGTAAATTGCAGTTAGGGACTCAGCTGAGTCAAGCTGGACTCAGCGTGTCAAGTTTGGCATAATACAATAAGCGCGCTATCCCCAAACAGTTGTGTGGTTATTGTGTGAGTGTATATGCAGGAGTCCGCGGTCACGTGAGGGGGGAGTGATAAGTGACATTTTGCATACAAATCCCCATCTAGTAGGGCGCAGTCACCCAGTTTCGGTGGAAGTGCGCGAGTTCGATTGGGATTCAAGTAGGAAGGGAGCGTCTCAGATTTCTCGGACCAAGACCATTCGACTCAGCACCCCGAAGACTACCACTGGTGAAAATTTGATTTTTGCCATAACTTCCCCTTTAAGGGTCAGCAAGTCAAGACCGCGATCACAAGTCCACAGAACACGGATCACAGTAGGCAACTTCCATTGCTCACACATTGCTCAATGCCGGGGGCAAAGCTTTCCAACACAGAACAATTATTCGCAGCATATAAGTCACTCTGACTTCTGCGTTAGAACACAGATCACGCGCGACTTCCAAGTCTGGGGCTGCAAGTAGCGAACGCACACTGTGCTTCGGGTACAGTGAAAACCTCGCATAACCGCACACACCCGTTTTTCACAAAAAAATATCCGGATAGGCGAGGGAACCGGATAATCGAACACACATACTGTCTGAATGCATGGCATATGCTGTAAATCGGTAACCAATAATTTTCTTCCGGATGGCGAGGGATCCGGATAAAAGAGGACCGGATAAGCGAGGTCTGACTGTACCATGGTCTGGTGCCGCCTCCCAAGATGCCACACCACCCATGTGCACACTGATATCAACTACTAGTACTATACAGAATAAGTTACAAGCACCCTGTGCCCATACTAATATAAGAGAATACAACAACAACAACAACAACAACAACAACAACAACAACAACAACAACAACAACAACAACAACAACAACAACAACAACAACAACAACAACAACAACAACAACAACAACAACAACAACAACAACAACACTCTTATTGGCCACTGGCTATCGCGAGAATAAAGATTTGAAACCAACAACAACAACAACAACAACAACAACAACAACAACAACAACAACAACAACAACAACAACAACAACAACAACAACAACAACAACAACAACAACAACAACAACAACAACAACCACAACAACAACAACAACAACAACAACAACAACAACAACAACAACAACAACAACAACAACAACAACAACAACAACAACAACAACAACAACAACAACAACAACAACAACAACCACCACCACAACAACAACAACAACAACAACAACAACAACAACAACAACAACAACAACTACTTGTACAAGTAGCACAACTGACCAGTATATTGTGTGTTCTCAAGCTTCAAATCCAGTCGCTTCATTCCCAGGTTGCCCCCTAGCCGACAGCCAGCGTCGCGTAGCAGTGGTGTGTGAAATACGTTCGCGTTGGCCCACACGGTGTGGCTTGCGCTCTGGATATCCAACCAGGTGACGCAACGGCCATGCTGCCTCTCGACCAAGTCCGCTGCCTCCTCCTCGATGGAACGCTGCCGTTGCTGCTTGGCTGCTGCTCCCGCTGTGGCAGCCATGCCTGGCTCTTATCACAATTAACGCTACAGCCCAGAACTAAAAGCAAGACCAAACAAAGGAAGAAGACACAAAACGGTACGTGTGTTTCGTTCTTTCCCCAGACTACTGTAAGACATGTTATTATAACGAGTTGCAAATTTAACGATTGTCCAAAATTCATAGGTTAACGAGAAGATTATGTTAACGATCTTGCAGTATTCCGCCATATCCACACACAATATATATGAAGCAGTGCGGCCTCAACGGATCTTAATATAAGGCCAAAACAAAAAATAGGCTTGTTTCCGGTCGGCAACCCCTCAAAAAGGAGACTCGGTCGGCCGGAATGAAACTTTTTTTGGATACTTTTTTTTGGTTTCTCAATCGTTGTGGCATTGATGGACAAGAGCACCTACACATGTACATTGTTCATATATCATGGCAAGGACCAATGTCAAAGTTGACTGACTCACTGTTCTTGTACAGCATGTGGTGTATTCCTGTTTTCGTACATCCTGAGAAAGCAGACAGTTCGAGTCCTTCCAGCTCCGTTATTCTAGCTCGTATCGACCCCGGAGGTTTACGAGCCGACAGCTGAGAATCTCTGCTACCTTGTAGGTGTTTCGATTGTGGAATTCGGTTGAGATTTGACTGAGTTATGACTCGTTTAGTGCACTTGCACACATGGCATTGCCACCGTTTGCATACATTTGGGACCAAAAAAAGTTTCAGAATTTGGGAAAAAGTGGCCCGGTTGGGCGACCGGAAACAAGGTCATTATTTGTTTTGGCCTAACGAAGAAATGTCATCCGTTAAAACGTTAGATTTACTTCCTCGTTATATATACATGTCTTACAGTACATAGAGTGAAAGCTTGTGACTGGCGAGTGTTGGTGTAAATTTAGCATGCGTTGTACAGTCGTCCCTCTCTAATCCGGCACTTGTTTATCCAGCACCCTTGCAAACCAGCACACTTTCTGGCAAAACGGATTTTTTCAGTTCATTTTCTACGCTTTAATCCGGCACTTGAATTCCGCCTCCAGCAGCGATTTTCTGCAACAAATCACTCAAACTGTACATAATTCGATTTTCTAATCCAGCAGTTGTACATTGCATACTGTCAGGGACCATTGTAACATACACAACACATGTAACATACACTTGGGAATATCCTATGCCAGTGCATAGGATATTCCCGGCAAGTGTATGTTAAAGACTTGCATTCCACAAAGTACTTGGATTGACACAGAAAATCCCTACGTTTTGACGTACGACAAAAACATGGGCCGGGTTCGGGTTGGATGGCAGGATTTGATAATCCAGCACCCTTGTTTATCCAGCAGAAAATGCCGTTGCAAAAGTTGCCAGATTAGAGAGGGACGACGGTATTTTTTGGCATTGCCGTGCACCACTTTTTATTTAGAACGAGGGATTAATTATAGGTTAGTGCATGGCAGGGAGGGCCTTATGGCTTGTTAGTGCCCGGCAGGTTCGCCTGAGGGCCGTAGGCCCGAGGGCTACCCTGAAGGGCACAAACAAGCCATAAGACCCTCCCTGCCATGCACTAAGGGGCCGTCCGTAATTATCGAACGTTTTTCACCAAACGAATTATTTTAGTTTAGACCCAACCCCTCCCTCCCTCCCCCTCAGAACATAAAAAAGTTTGACATATGCATGCATAATACAACAAAAGTTGCAAGTGTGTAACTGCTCCTATGGGCATGCACATGTATCAATGTTTTCTGAAACGAAATTGGTCAACCCCCTCCCACCCCATAACGAAATTATTTCGTTTTGTGAAAAAAGTTCGATATTTATGGACGACCCCTAACTATTTTAGAACGAGGTTACATGCATTATTTCACTTCCATTATGCTTGTGTACCATTATATCGGGTAGTTTTGTGGTTTGTGTGCAGAGAGACTTGGTGTGGTATGAAAGAATATTTTCTTCTGGTAAGTTATGGTAACTCAGCACCACTTAGGACTACTAAAAGTAGAATAGGAGCAAATGAAATGCTGGGCTCTTATTGCGAGCTTCATTCTTATTCATAGCTCGTGGAGCTATTTAGGGGCTTTGAGAGCCCCTTGTCGATACCTCTAATGACTTTGATGTTCGGTTTTTATAGGTTTCCGCAAGCTGTTGACAAACACTTCTGAAATGCGTAGCTTTTAGTAGTACACCGTACATTTTATGCAGAGTTCATTATCTGCACCGTACTATAATGCATACAGGGAGTTGTATGCACCCGTTTAGAGTATCTTCAGCGGGCTTTAAACTAATCCAAGGCCCTCGACGCGTCATCAAGAGTAGTAAAATAACGATTGAGCAGGCTTTAAACTCTGATAAGGCTCCTGGCGGGAATGCCGCTGATTGGTCGTTTCCTGGACAACAAGACAGACCTCGTTCTAAAGTTAGATAATGTAAGGGGTCGTCCATAATTATCGAACTTTTTTCACGAAACGAAATAATTTCGTTATGGGGTGGGAGGGGGTTCACCAATTTCGTTTCAGAAAAGTTCGATTCATGTACATGTCTTTGGGAGCAGTGACACACTTGCGACTTTTGTTGTATACGCATGTATATCTCAACATTTTTTACGTTCTGAGGGGGAGGGAGGGAGGGTTAACCGGTTGGTTCTAAACTAAAATAATTCGTTTGGTGAAAAATGTTCGATATTTACGGACGGCCCCTATTAAAGTACGGTAGACGCGTGATTTTATAAATATACAATGTACCTGCCCAAATTGCTATGGTGTGTTGTGTTGTTCAAAACCTGACCCCAGCTTAGCAACAACAAAAGCCTTTATGGACAGGCCAAACGTAACCAGTGGTCTCATATCCTCCGACTTCTCACCTAATTATGTATTGACTTGTTACTCGTCTGACACTGCTTGAGCGTTGTTGTACAAGCTGTTGCTTTACGTCTTCGTCGATCACTATTACTGAAGCTCAGTAATTAATATTTCTTTGTTCGCTCAGCTTCGACCTGTGCTTTTGACACGGGAGTAGTCCATCAGTACGAAACACTGCCGAAAGCAATGGCTCAGTCGATTCAGACGCGTACTTCTCTGAGCTTTTACAAACCAACGAAATCTGAGAATCCATACAATTTTCGAATGCACAAAGATAAAAATTATTTGAACTCACAGCTAGTTCAATGTCAGAAAATGTTTTTTTCATTATCTAATATTATTATTATTAATTTTCGCGTCATCGTCAATCTTATAATAATTATGATTGATGATTTTACTAGTACAGTATGCTGAGTGGTGTGGTAAACAGAAATCAAATTATGGAAGATGCAGCTCATAGATGCTGATGTCAAGGCAGAAAACAACATGAACTATGATGAAGGACGGAAAAAAGAAAACAGGATAAGTATGGATATCGCATGCGATACGTTATGATAGTTATTGCATGTTGATATTGTGATAGATAGTGTCACGGATTCTATTGCTACAGTTTAATACTGAGGGACGGTTGATAATCATAATGATAGTTATTATGGTATTCGGGTTTTTTTCATTGCAATGACAAAAAGATCTACGCGCAGCGCAGGTATCTACTAGTGCTGGCAACTGCAATCCGACCCCCTGAGCGGTGCGCTCACATCGCAAAGAATGTGAACCCACCGCTCAGGGGGTCGGATTTCAGTTGCCAGCACTGTAGCCTAGAATGATAATTCATCAAAATACATGACGGTTGATTGCAATATTCATGACTCAGACTGGTACGTTTGCATATCATCAAGAGCTCATAACCCCCTGGGGGTTATGATTCGATGAACTCTTGACCAGGGGGTTATGAACTCTTGATATCATCAGGCATGCATATTGCCAATACAAGACAACCAAGAGTTCATAACTCCATACTCTGGTACCCCCCCCCCCCCCCCCAGTTTGTACATTGTGATGCCGAGTACAGAGTTGTGGGATAGAATGACTGCGGCGGATTAGATTCACACCGGCGCAGACTGGGCCGTCGCGCCGGGATTGCTGGCGGCATCCTCCTCCGGAACCAAAAACAGTGGCAGTGTGGGCTGGCCGAATCAGTCTCCTGATTGCCCGGGGTTGAAAGTCAACTTGACAGGCTTTCGTCTATGGCAAATTGAAGATCATCAGTGAGAGCCAAGCGGTGACTATGCCGGATAAACTGACTAGCTCATCAGTGCCTTTTGGGCACCCGCACATGTTCTCCAGGCGTCTGGGGCCCAGCCTACCCACCCATCCAACTCGCCACACACAACAACGCAACTCAGTGAACAGTAAAAGTTCTGACATGATTCCTTTTAAAAGACGGAGACGGACAAACAAGAAGACCGGACACGACGAGGCAAAACTGATAACTCCAGAAAAGACAAACATCGTGGCAGCATACGAGCATGCGCACAAAACAATGTTGGACACGTGACACTGACGTAAGCGTTTCATGACCACGGTGCACAGAAGCCGAGCGTGACTGCGCGTGCAGCCAAAACAAGGCAACAAAGTCAAAACTAAAACACTACGAAATAAAACCAAAGAACCACAGAAATAAGCCATGAAAAGTCTTCAGTTCACATTCTCAGAGACATTTGCGCAACAGTGAATTCCCGGCCGGTGGCAGGATTTTCACATTAGAATGCACCTTGCTTGTGCTCAAGCAACTCGGAAAGTACCGGTAAGAATTTGAAAAACCTGGTCTAAAAAAGAAGAAAAAAGTTCCTAATCAATGTCAAGGAAATAGACTGTTGAAAGTGAGTGTTCCTGGTGACTTGAAGGCATCACAGTATAGGCGAAAACCCCATACCGGTAATAGCAATGCCGTAGTATTGCAGGCAAAGACACGCCGGTACAAATCAATGCCTCACACCATATGCATGCGTGCATACTCTACTCTACGGACTAAGAAATACTAGAAAACTATTTATAAACTAATCTGATAGAATCAATACAGTAGTGTCACTTGAAGAGCTGAACTGCGGCTTCTCGCAGACCAGGATTGACCGGCATTATAGCCCCACTGTCTGATCAGGTCTGGAGTCAACGTTACAGCACCACATTGAGGCTGTGGCAAAACGATAACCATCCGGCGGAGGGACTAGATGCTAGAGGGACTCACTGTGGTCGGAGTAGCAGCAAAGCATTCCATCACAGGAGAGGCATCTCCCATCTCAGGCCCAACCACCGAACACCATGGAGAAACTGATGGTACGTCAGTGCATGCAGCTGGTGTTGGCGTTGGTGCCGGTCATGACCTTCATCAGTATGCAGTCAATATGAATGGACAAAGGTAATGAAGATGAGAGCAGGAAGCGAAATATGTGTCCGTTAGAGGAGGTGTTCGGAGTTACATAACGTGTGAGAGCAGTCAAGCTATGGCATCGTCACTAAAATGATTTTTCTTGAAAACGCTACTTTAGCCCCGAAGACGCGATCTGCTCACAACGGCTCCTGTGCAGAGTATAGGAGGTGTTCGGCGGTGCAGGATCCAGGTGCTTAGCATTGCATCACGGTATGGATCCTTGCTAGCCAACTACTTGTCAGGACAAGAGCTTTCCGTTGCGCCACCAGTTGAGCAATTCAGCTACACTAGCAGTCTAGAAGCCCAATCAGAAGTCAAGAGACGGTGCAGTGGATCTGGAGTTATGGTGTGCCGCACTCACCGACGGCGGTGGCTTGGAAGCGGGTGGAGTTATAATCACTGCTGGGTCTGCGGTGGCGTCCACATTCGTCAGGCTGACCTCACCGTTGACGATGCTCATCAGCAGGACAGCGTCAAAGCGCATCTCACCGTCGTTGACAAACTGCTCCAGTCTTAGCTGCTCGACGATCTCCTGGCTGACCTCGTAGAGCGGTGGAATGAGCAGCAGCATCTCACCCATACGACCTGGCTCCGCGCCACTCGTGTACTCCTGCAGCTCGATCAGTCGGATCTTGCGCATGCTACGCACGGTCTCAATATCTTGGACACCGGCCGAAACTGTACATGCACACACACACACACACACACACACACACACACGCACACACACAGTTAACTCCTCCGCCTCAGAAAGGCTCATTGGTCCCATGCCACCGGCAAACTGGAGCATCAAAAGAACCGTGACCACAACCAATAGCCCGGCTAACTTCAGCGAAGTCTACTCCAGCCGTGTGATCGTGTGGTGCATGGTGTTCCAAGCTAGCCCACATGTCTTGGCACACCCATGGTTGATACTGAGAATATGCAACATTGCAGCCTTATCACAACTGAACAGGACATTAAAAGACCCATCTCAGATGGTTGAGACAAGGATCTTCTACCAACTCTACCTAAATCATTAAAATGAACACAGTGCCAAGCAAAAGGATTTCCAGGAAATACTACACCAATCAGCACAGTAGCCAGACAATACTATGATCCTACAGGCTGCACAAAGCCACAGCTGAATGGTCCTAGGCTATGCGGCATTGACGTCCAGCAGCTGCTCAATGTCCCGTACCTGGGTTGAATAGTATAACTTGCTTCAGTAGCATGTGCTCATAGTCATTTAGATTTAGCTGACGCAGCGGCTTCACCACACGGTCAATGAGAAGATTGGCGACAGATGAGACACCGGGGTTCACGTGTCCTGGTGACATCATCTTCCCAGTAACCAGCTGTAGGGAGCCTGGGGGAATTGAACACACACACACACACACACACACACACACACACATATACAATGTGCATGTACATATACCGTCATGCACAAACCCAGGCACCGACACACACACATATATCGCGGCACGAACAGTCACACATATGAAGAAGCCCGTGGCACACACTCCACAATCTCCGCACATAACGTTAACTGATCTACATAGCCATGTATGAACCAATAGACTTATAACTATTATTATTTGAATACAATACCTACAGCAGCCTGCTAGCTAGTACGTAGCCTCATAACCACTATCACAAGCTCCACCTGCATAACCCACTGATGTAAGTTACAGCCACACACAGCGTTGATAGCATCAATAGTAGTGGACTGGTTGCAACATGGGAGACCAAGATCTTAGAAGTACAGATTTTCTCCTTAGCAAAATAAAGTACTGAGTTGACACACATACACACACACACACACACACACACACACACACACACACACACACACACACACACACACACACACACACACACACACACACACACACACACACACACACCATTGGACGCCCATCGCCGGAGGCGATGATAGCGATGCTACAGCAGAAGCCATAGCAGCTTGTGCTGGGATTGCACCATTCAACAGCTTGCAAGGCTGAAGAATTGACCGCCACACACACACACACACACACACACACACACGCACGCACGCACACACACATACACACTGGGTGCATCCTGCAAGGGCTTACCGTCGAAGCCAATGGACCTCTTTGCGAACCCAAGCATGACAATCTCCACCACAGAGCTCCTTAGCAGTGACTTTTGATCAGCGGGACTCAAGTCAGAGAAACCAACAACATGCTGCTTAGACCACTGGAATAGGCACAGTATCCGATGCTTGAATGTCTCCAGAACCTGCACAGCCGGGCCACAAATATCAGACACATAACACATTGCCTGCCATAGCTCACTGCTAACATTATGGCAAAGCACATGTGTGACCAGGAATACACAGTAACATTGGCTGTACTACGGCACCAGAAGCGAACGGACCAGTTTTAACTGGTCCGTTCGCTTCTGGTGCCGTAGTGTACTGATTAGCTTGGAATGCCACACACACACATTTCGAAAGTTATGCTTGATATCCTCATGGACCTACAGTCCGTCAGCTACTACCGTAGAATCCCGCGGATAAGCCCATGGGCTTATCTGTTTCACAAGGACATTTCGGTGGGCTTATACGCGGGCATAGCTTATACGCCGGCACCAAAATTGTGCTATTGAAAAGTATCAAGGAAGCGAGAAGTGCATTGCTGAAAAACACTGTGCAAACAAAACAACCGATGATTGTGTTGAAGTGTACAAAACAACTACATGTACTACGTACATGGTATGACCAAGAGTCCATAATTTATGGACTCTTGGTATGACCTAGGCCCATGGGCTTGTATGCTGAAGCTTTGTGATGTTCGACCTAGCCCTGGGCTTAAGCGCGAGCATGGGCTTATACGCAGGATTTTACGGTAGTAATAATTATAAAGAATGTGTACTGAACTGCTTGAATGCCTCATCAGGCATGAGGCAGCAGTTATCGCAAAGGACACGTTTTCGCAGCAACCAGACAAAGCAACACAGCTGCACCCCGTATCACATGCAGCATCTCAAAGTCACGCAACCCCGGGGGGTCACACGGCACGGATACTACAGTAACCCAGACCTTACCTCCTCCACGGACGCTTCGTTGTTCTCCTCGCCAGCTGCTCGCTCGGGCGTGGGCACGTTAACGTTTGGCATGGGCGGCATGGGGAATGCATCACTGCCTAGGCTGGAGCTGCTTGAAGGACCGGTCTGCGGATTGCCACTACCGCCAGCACCACGGTCACCACCTCCCATGTGCAACGAAGAGCTCGGGATCAGGTCGGGAGCATCCGGAAGAAGATGATGTAGGGGTGCATACGACTAGGGAGACAATCAGAATTGAGTAACACATTCACATTACCAACATACCATCCGAACCATCCTGCTTTAGACTGGTATTCTCGCTTCGGACTAAAACATTCCCATACATGCCTTTGTAAGTTTGTATACATTATGTTACTTTATGTATAGGTGCCCCCTGTTTGGAATGATGATGAGGTTTTACATGCAGTCTGCATCAAGAGCCAAACAGGTCATAAACAGGTCAGATCTTTCATTTTTTTTCAAGGTCCTCAATCATTCGAGGACATGCCTTTGTTCAGTTCACACTCATTGTCTGCTGTTAAATTCTAGCAGAGAAAATACCACGGGTTGTGAGCCATGCGAATCAATCCAACTCACAGGCATATAAGTGCTCCCAGGAGCAGCTGCAGCACTGGCAGCCTCAATAGAGGCAGACAGCAAGCCAGGTGACAACTCCGCCTTAATCCTGTCCGCCGCTCGTGCCTCGGATTCCATCGGAGACGGTGGGTTGGTGGCGAAGGCACCGCTCAGCGGAGGTGAGGTCACCGATGGAATATCACGCATGCGCGGTGACTGCAGTGTGCAACATTGAATCAAGAAAGAAAGCAGTTTCACTTCACCAGCCTCAAGCCAATCGCGAAACAAGACAAGGTATAGGTTTGACAGACTGAGTGAGTGAGACTACACCTGCACGTACAGGCAGACGTGATGAAGCGGGATAGAGGGATAGAGCGGGGCAGGATGCTCACACCCCATCCGCACTGTTACATTGCTGCCAAACACTGTGCATGGTCTCATCCCTGTTCTTTGCACAGGAGCAAGTTCTCAAAAGACAGAACTGAAGTATCAAGTATCACTGACATAGCAATGTCAAAGTCACAGTCACAAGAACAGCAGATGCAAAAAAAGAAAAGAAGAGTTCAGAACATATCAATGTCTCTTGCCTTGGACTGGAGCGGTGGCGAGCTAAGAGGTGGACTAACAGCTGCCAGTGGATGCGTGCTAGCCTCACTCGCCATGGCCTTTCCAGTTGTAACCGGGCTACTCCGGCCGCTGGTAGAAGACAGGAATGTGTTTCTGTGAAGCTTCACAGCTACACAAGGCAGAACAACTTCACAGCTAAGTGTACACCCAAAGGAAAATGAGAAAACAACTAAACTGTGTTCAGCGTCCACTCCTTGCCCGTCTTTGTGTCACTTTAGAGCACAACTCACACATAGCCTGACAGTCTCCCCCCCCCCCCCTCCCCCGCCAGGAATACTGTGAGACATATTAATAACGAGTCGTAAATGTAACTATTGTCCCAAATCCACAGGTTAACGAGAAGATATGTTAGCAATCATGCAGTCTTCAGGCATATCTGCACATCACACATGTGAAGATACTGCCCCAACAGAACTTATTATAACGAAGAAATGTCACCCGTTAAAATGTTAGATTTACTTGATCGTTATACAGTAAAACCTGTCAAGCCGACCACCTGTTAAAGAAGACCACGGGAACCAGGACCAAGGGATGCTATTTCCAGACAATTGACCCTGGATAAGGAGACCACCTGGTAACAGAGACCACATTTTGAAGGTCCCTTGAGCGGTCGTCTTAGACAGCTGTTTCACTGTACTTACACGATTGTCTTCCTGTACCCCATTCCTGTACCCCATTCCTGTACCCCATTCCTGTACCCCATTCCTGTACTCCATTCCTGTACCCCATTCCTGTACCCCATTGCGCTCTCACCTTTTCTGTGATGAAGAAAGTATTCCTGACATTAACACAAATTGCACCTTCCTGTGCACCTCTAGCTGCTGTTTTCTTCTTCTTCTTCTTTTAGTTTCTAAATCTTTTCTTTTCGACTTTGCCATTTAGGCCAAACAAACTCATCCTAATGCTCTGTTCAAAGCGGACCAACCAGATAGCAACTACTCATTAATGAGTCATTACAATGTTATGCTACTGAAGTGCTATGTTTCCGTGAGACTGGCTTGGGCACAGATGCGAGCGAGCATGAACACAGCAGTCATAGCGTGCTCAACAGGGAGTCATAGCATCCAGGGAGGTGGCACGAGCAACTGAAAAGCGAAACAATATGGGTTTGGCCCCCGGGCTGCCTGTCGCCGCGGTCCTGCCGCGGTCACTTTATGCATGCTCGCATACACGCATGGCACCGGTGGTCTGGGCCACCCTTTGGGATCAGCAGGTCCAGGACGAGATAACTCGAACGCAAGCTTTGTAGATCACGGATCACGTAAAACTTCCAATTTTGGGGTCGAAAAGCACATCGTTTTGGGTACTATCAAGAGTGCATAACCCCCCAGAGTGTGCAACGCCGATCCAGCTCTGTGTAGGGTCTTGGTCGAGCGGAATCGGATCTTCTGATGTCATGCGTACACTTCACACCAGCGCAAGGCCGGTCTCGAGGCAGGGCACCATTGTTTTTGATCCAAGAGTACCCGCGACTCCCCGGGTTCCCCTCAGATGTGTACGGTATTATGACGCAAAGATCCGATTCCGCTCGACCAAGACCCTATCAGAGCTGGATCAGGCGTTGCACACTCTGGGGGGTTATGTACTCTTGGTACTATACAGCCTCGTGTCGTTTCCATGGCCCGGATGCTACACCTCTCTGATGGGTGCACGCACCAGTTAAGAGCAGAGCCTTTAAAAAACACTCAGGGTGACAGCATCATTTCTTACCTTCCTTTTTCATGCCGACTGTGATGCATTTTTGAAATCGGCAGAACTGGCACCAGTGTCGTACTCGTTTGTCGACACCGATCGGACACTTCATGGAATAACGGCACTGGTACTGTTTGTCCATTTGAACGCTGCGCCTGAAGAAGCACTTGCACGCCTCACAGCTATTCGCGCCGTAGTGTTTTCGGATGTTCTGCGACTGATCCCCGCACACACCGCACACAGAGCCATGCACCGCCGATGCAGCAGCCGTGGAATCGGCTGCTGCGCTAGTTGTGCTCGGCGTGACTGGACGGGACGGTCGACCGGCAGAAGCTGTCTCGGCCAGTTCCGCCGCCATCCTCTGCTCCGATTCCGCCAGCTGCAGTGCTTGGCGGGGCATCATCCTACCCACGGGATTCACACCATGTGCGAAGCCTGATGACAACGTCTGGGCTCCGATGAACTGCATCATTGGCACGCGCATAGGCATGTGTCCGAACGTCATTAAGTTTTCTGCACTGGAAGTGGCCGATACGTGTCCTGACGAGGGAGAAACTGGTCGTGACCCTCGGTTGCTGCCCGTGTCACCATAACTCTGGTCTGAAGAAGTCTGGGCGAGTTGCTGCTGCTGCTTCTGCAACTGCTGTATTCGCTGCTGCTGCATCTGTATAAGATGTTGTTTCTCTTCGAATTGTCGAACCGACGATGTCGGATCAGAAGCAAGCAGAGCAGCGGCGGTTGGATCAATGTTGCTGAGGGCTGAGGCCGCTATAGGAGCGTAACCGTGGGGCAGGAAGGCCATTGGCAAGCCTGCTGCTTGTGATATTGCCGTGTTACTGTCAGCAGACGCCCGAGGATGTACTGCGCCGCCATCTTCCAGCTTCACAGTGAGGCGTTGCGCTGGCAAACCTGTCAATAAGTACATGCACCAAAGTCAAAAGAAAACAAGAAATTTTAGCGTACGCCCCGTGCGCTTTCACTGCCTGGGATGTTTGTCCCCAAGAACCTGACCCTTCATTCATTTATAGAATTGCAATGGGATAGAGATTGACACCGATTGGGAATACCATCATGCCGCCTCCTAAAATGTCAGACGAAGCGTAGAGCGAGCGATCCCGCACGCAAATAAGCACCGAACACACGGAAGCAAAAATTGTGCACGGGATCTCTCGCACCAGTCGCGCACTTCTTTGAAGAGACAAACATCCCCTTCGGCTTCACAGAGCTCCAGATGTACCTATCGATCGCCCTACTGATAGAATAAAGTGGCTGTAAACCAAACAACAAATCACTCCTTACCTTTTTCACTGGAGTCCTCCATGTTGTCGGCGGAAAAGGGTCAAGGAGCAAAGGTAAAACGAATGCAGTATACTTGCTAGTAAACAGTAGATATCTACGTAGTATGCGCGCGTGTTCTCCGCGCTGTGCGCACGCGCTTTGCAGCACGCCGATGGGTGATGTGACGTCGAGCTAGCTGCAAGTGTTGACCATGGTTGACTGTTGAGTGTTGAGTGTTACTTGTTAGTGTATTACAGTAGTTGCAGGTCCCACCTGCATCATGACTGACTGTGCCGCCTGAGTCTGCCAGTCTCTGGCTCTAGTCTGGAGTCTGGACTGCCGTACAGTGTAACCACAGACAGTCCACACACATCTAAGTATTTAGTTGTTACTTCACAAGGCGCTAGGCTATACTAGCCGTCCCTGTTAATGTTGCTCATCATAAACAGTTACTATGAATCTGAAGTATGAAGTCATATCAAGCTAAAACTACAGTCATGTGACAGAAAAACATGGTCTCGTATGTAGCCCGGCTACAGTCCGAGCTACAATGATTATGTACAATGTCATGTACCGTAATGTCGCGTGCATTAGCCGGGGCTTATAATATGCCTATAAGCCGGTGATGGAGTCAGGCTTGTTAGTAAGTTGTACACAAGACAGGCTTATACACGAGACAGGCTTATATGACAAGCACCACTCAATGACCAGGCTTGTATGCGCAAACTGCTGACTTTTGGACGTCAAAACCAACATTTTCCAACGGGATTTTTTTTCTTTTTTTTCGCTCCCTGAACCGCGTCCCCCCTCTCCTTTCTCTCACTCTCTCGCTTGAAGAGTGGTGCATGGCCGTCGAGCGCAGCTGGTGTTGATTTCCGCATCTTCCCACGTTTTCCGCGTGTGCAAGTGTACGGTACCATGCAAACATGAACATGTACATGTAAAAGGCGCGCTCACCAGTCTTGCGTAGTAGCCCGGCTTACGCACGCGACACGTGGCGCGTCTCGTGTACTGGCCCGGCTTATGCATGCGACAGGCTTGTACGCGAAAAGCTGTTGCAGATTTCATGCTTCTACACGAGACAGGCTTATGCACAAATCCGGCTTATGCACGCGACATTACGGTAGATGAGAAGCGAGAAGTCTACCACGCCTACGGTCGTGGGCGTACCGTCCCTTGCGGTAGATCTACACAGTCGGGTGGTCAGTACTAGTAGGAGGACGAGGCTCGATACAAAGATACAGGCGGCTAGGCAGACATCTACCACCAGTGCAGTGCAGTACCACCGACCGACATCCGTCGCCGAAACAGATCCGTCGCCGAAATCTCGATCTGGATGAAAATGGAAGATTAAAAAAGCTAACCACGACTAGTAGAAGGACCAGCGGCAGAATATCTACAAGTACAAGTACATGACTGTACTGGTATATGGAAGTATTATTTGTGTAGGACAAGGAGTTGATCTCGGAGTTAGAAGACCCGTTGAACTATTCCATGTCGTCGTCACCGATCATCCGACATACATGTACATGCCTGCCATGATTTTAGTCATTCCATCAACGTCAACGTCGCTATCGACATACTACTACTACTAGTACCAGACACCTAACCAGACACCTAACCAAGGCAAGGGGTTGGTGTGAGCCTGAGACTGTGCAAGCTATTATGTCCATTATTGTACAATTATGTACATGCAAGCGCGGAATGCCGAATGGTGCCACTCAGTCCCCTGCTATACATAATTATTGTATGTCCAGCCACCAGCGCAGCGCATCATGCAAGAAGGGGTAGACACAGTCTATCACGGTTGTGTAGAAGTCATCAGTTTGAAGATCAGATTCTGGGGAATGTGCAGAAGGAGAACGCATACATTCACAAAGACTTTTAAAAGTGTGGTTTTGTCAGGGAAATGGAGTGAATCCATCATCCACTGAATATGTAGCCATGCCACAGACAGACACTCAGTAGTGAGTACTGAGTCTGTGCATAGAGGACTGGTAATACCAAGACTGGCAAGAGTAATGTATTGTTAATATCAGTATAAATCACGTGCAGGTGATTGTGAAATTTCACCCACCCACCTAACCAGATTTGACACAGATTGACATGTGTTAGATTTACTGCTGCACTGCTTTGCACGTTCAACGCATAGCCTAGGTTAGGGAGTAGGGTTAGCCGGCGGAATGGATCAGGAGACCAGAGATCATGATGATAACAACATGACATGTAATTGTTGTTATCATCGATCATGATCTATTGTCACCACTGCAGCTCACTGCTCGCCCCATCAAGGCATCATGGCGGAATGGGCTATAGCCCATGACTACGCACTGACAATCCGTATTCACATACATGTAATTATGATTGGCTTCGTGTAGGTTTACAACCAAAGCTGCTGCACTGGGACATAATCACGGTTGTAGCAGACTGCTTTTACTTTTTAGCACAGTCATCTCGCAATCCTCTGGAGAGCTGCAGACTACACTGATATGAGTATCAATCATGGTAACAGTCATATTCATAAACTTATAAAGCATCTCGTTTAGTATACGGTGGTTCTGCTGCAGCTGATGCATTTCAAAATCACAACACGGATCCTGTTTGTACAGCACACCCAATCAAAACACCTACTGGAGTATTACTTGTCTGTCAATCATTAAAATGAGGCATTTGCATAATTTATAAATTCAGTTAACGTTACATGCATGGACCGGGCTCGACCTCAACAGTTGGGATGGACTGCACACTCCTGTCCATGATATGCAAATACATGTATACAGAGCTGTACTGATTATGGGTGCCGGGTGCAACCAACGATTCATACCAACACACCCACAGATTTCCAGGCTAGCAAGATAATCACCGAGTTTCAATCATTCCACTCAGTCTCAGAGCATGGACAATAATGTAGACACCATGTACCAACCAGCTGTACTGGCGTTTGATGCGACCACTGACTGACTGTAGTGGAAAAGTCACATGCATGTACTAGTATACAATCATTATGTGTATAATTATGACTGTTCAATAAGTACCGTGAGCTGTTATCATGCATAGTCGATCCGGCGGATTGTCATCCATAAACAGCCATTAGTTTCCCAGGGTAGGTGCCTTGGAAGTCCGACTCTTCATCAGAGAGTCGAGCTAGTTGTCCAGCGCAATGAATACCCCATAATGACAACTACAGTGAAACCTCTCCAAAACGACCGCTCAAGGGACCTTCAAAACATGGTCTCTGTTACCAGGAGGTGGTCTCCTTATCCAGGGTCATTTGACTGGAAATGGCATCATTAATTTTGGTCCTGGTTTCAGTGGTCTTCTAGGACAGGTGGTCGCCTTATCCGAGTGGTCGCCTTGACAGGTTTTACTGTAACTGTTACTTTAGCAAAACCTGATGACAATACAAAGAATGATCCATATTACACTGTACCTTAGTCATTTTACAAATCTACTCAAGAGTGCAACCAATTATGTACACGTACATTTGTACATGTGCATGATGTACATGTACATGTACTCTTGTTTCTATTTCTTCCGTTTCTTTCTAGTGTGCATAAAAATACTGTGAGTGTGTCATGGACCTGCATGCATGATGTGCATACTCAGCCAGCAGCAGGGCGTCTTTGTGATATTTGTCGATTCCCTAATCCGGCTGTAGTATAGTAGAGGTGAACCATGGCCCGGGCTTGGATGGTTCCGGACTTATTTCATGAGAAATTGCAGTTTGGCGTGGAGTGCAGGAAGTAGAGAAATGGCGAGCCAAGTACGTCCTGTAACCTTGAACCAAGGCTTAAAGTTGGGGGTGTACATGTCTGCATGTCTATTACCATTCGCATTTGTTCGGAACAATACACAGAACCACCAGCATTATGCATTGCACATGTACACGCACATGCACATGCACCTGTACATCAATGTCTTCTGGGACATGGTATTCACTGGTCAATCAGCTCAATCACAGTACTTATTACAATAATTATTTACAAGTATAAAGATGGCGTATCCAGCCCTGTTCCTAGGAGCAAACGCAGTCCGACATGTAATTGATGTACATGTATACCAACATTCTCAGGCGAAGAGTCCAGGCATAAGCTGTCTGGAGATACATTTTCTACGGTGCAATCACCAGTCATAGTAAGTCACGTTTCAGTCCGGGGAAGATAATTATAGCTATGGGAGGAGATTTGCCAGTGCCTTGTACTGAAAACTTGTCACGGAAAAGTCGCATCGACCTGCTCGTAACTTGATATCACGACACACTATTATCATAGTATTAAATTACAGTGAGCTCAGTGACTTCTTCCGCGACTTCTATTCGGGCCAACACTCAAGCAACAGACCCTTTCATAGAATACAGTATGCAAATCCCTGCAGTCGTGAACTGGATCTGTGGCAGCACCTTGTCTTCTTACTATCTTAGTCCACATGCACAGTGACCACAGAGACTGTGTAATCCAAACCATGCAGTATGTGCAGTACGAGCAACCTCTTGGATACTAGTACTAGTAGTACTGTAGTCAGTTCCTCTTGTGAGCGTGCCGAGTGACACTACACGTTATTCTACACCATCAACTATTAAACTCGAATATCATTCACTTATTACATGTATCTAAGTTTTCGGAGCTGACTGGACTTGTCATTGAGCTAGAAAGGTAGACCAGTACAATCATGTATTGTTACTTCAGTGGTAACTAACAACACGATCATGGCCCCTGTACTGGCTGTAGTTCGGTCTTATTTTCATGTGCATTGTACAATGTACATGTAGCTCGCAGTTGTACCGACGAACCCTGACATTGGATGGCCTACACAGTTACATGTACGTAGCCGTCAGCAACGGTGGGATTCGCCTCCACGATTCTACATTACAGCAAGGAACTCGGATTTAGCAGGCCTATCCACGAGCACTGTGACCCCCGCCCTCCACTCCTCCAATCCCCTGGCATTGGCTCACACTGTACCCCATCGTAACCGCACCCCTCCGCGATTGTGTTGCATGGCTTTCTTACTTGCTGGATTGATCTTACATGTATACGATTGTGGAATGATTTTTTAAATCATATTAACCCTCTCAGTGCCACGGGCGACTTTAGTCGCCCGAAATGAGTATGTGTGTACAAA